AAGAGTAACTAGATTTTCAAACTGAATTTTCATAATACCTAACAAACTTCCCAATATAAAGAAAAATTGACTACCTTGAAAACCCATATATCTTCTGATTCATCTAAATTGTTTGTATGTTGCTTTGGATAAAAGCATAACAAACTATGATCTTTTAACTAAATTAAAGTTCTAAATGGAAATGAATTGGTGGGGGTTAAGATTTGTTAAATACTATAATGAGGCAGTGAATACTGAACTAAAAGGAACACGGAAATGTTACTAACATATGAAATGAATATTATTATTAACACTGAGTTATTTAGTTCACATTCGACCAGTAGACCCTTGAATATCTGTGCTACTGATTACAATTCATTCGTTCATAACTAATAAACATGTTTAGCCATTGTACCATGATTCCCAAAATGAGTACACAACACCAGTCCACATCCTTGGTTTCCTTCTAGGTCTACGTTCCCCCTTAGCCTTCTTGGACTGCTTGTGGCATACACTCATCAAGGGGATTAATGTCCTTCAAACTTTTATATCCGACATAAATGACAGATTGTTTTCTCTCTTGCGTTTTGATGTGTGCACGAGAGGGGCGCAGAGGGACGGCTTTGAAGTCGACAGAGCTTTTATCTTCCTCTATTTACATTGGCTAAAGTGTTAAGTGGAGTTCTCGTTTGGCTTAAAGGATGTAATACCCTGCAATGAGAGATTTACAGGAAGGGAAATTGCAAACTCTCTGGGCTCCTTTCTGTGGCCCCCTTCTAACAAAAACTATTTATGCAAATGCAGAGGCTGTGGACGGAAAGCACTCCCAGACAAAATCAGATGTTTCAGAACAGGCTGCCGTGCTGAGTTGGCAGATGTTCTGTCGCTTCAGCAGGGACCCTTTAAACAAAAGCTGTTGATGGCTCTCTGCGCTGAGTGTAAGCCAAGAGCTGCACTTCCTCGGAGCCATCTGGAAGATGGCAGAGTATTTGTTTGGCCGGAGCTGGCCTTGCACAGGAGCCACGGGAAATTGAGGGCACTAATTGAAACGATACTAAGGACCCAATAATGGCCACTACTGACCGCCTCTAATAATATAATTGTCTTCCCATCAATAAAATACAGATCAACTGATAGACACATTTTAAATGGGGGGATATATTGTATACATTTTAAAAAGCCTGATCACCCAATTATGGTAAATAAAACATCTGTTTGATTTTGGAAGTGTTGTGTTACATTGCAACAGCAAAATGCTTTTTCATTAACATAATTTCACTATACCGGGCTATTGACAACTGTCTTTAGGTGATAGTTTATCATCTTATGAGGAAATATAGCTTCCGAAAATAAAAACATGTTGATGTATGAGAGTTGAGGTGAGATAAATATCAAATAGGAGTGACCAGTTATAATGACATGTGAGTCACTTTATAATGTCTCTACTAATGTTGACTTAAGGTCGGAGAATGATTTATGTTAATTTTGATGCAACAACTCACAAATTAGGATAGTTAAGTCACCACACTACACAAAAATCAACGTCATTTAAAATCTAATCACCCATAGAGTAAATATTTAATCAACACTTACAGTATAATGAATCCTTTGGATAAAGACACCCAACTGTACTAAAAGATAGCATAACTCTAGGGCCACAGCGAATTAGATGGAGGCTTTGATGCAAACATGATGCCATTTCATATTTCTATCAAATCCATTTGAAATGAGAAAATACACTGTTGCAATCAAACCTGTGACTCAAGTCTGACTAGAGCCCACACCTCCCAAACTTGTTTCTACATGGTTCTCAGGATATTTATCTACCACAATAACACTTAATTGTGCCAAACCTGGTGACGGTTGAACCTCCCAAACCCACAGCTCTCACATCAGATGGTGATGACCCTGACCCGTACCACCCACAGCTCAGAGTTGAACCCTCGCTGACCTGGCTGGCATATCAGAGGTCAGGCTGATAGGACCTACCACGTTGTCCATCCCCCATGACCACTGCCATGACAGATACCAGACTGTGTGTGTGTGTGTGTGTGTGTGTGTGTGTGTGTGTGTGTGTGTGTGTGTGTGTGTGTGTGTGTGTGTGTGTGTCCCTTTTCCTCTCTCTTTGAAGTTTAGAAAAATCGGCAGTGTTAGCACTGTCTACAAAGCGGTGTGAAGCTACAGCCCCCAGCTGCCTCCACTTCAGTGGGAGATGGCATGTCAAAACAGCACATGGCTCTGCCCTGCCAGAGTCACGCCTGCAAGTGGAGCACTCTCACGGGTCATCTGGAGCGACACAACAGCCACAATCATTCACACACCTCTGCTCTGTTTTCATTAGAGGACAACATTTGCATTTACACAAAATTAGAATTACACCAGGCATGTTACTGTGTGTGAAGTAGGAGTACCTAATACAGTGTTTTGGTGAGTTTTGAAGTGTTTCTCTCTTCAAATTAATTAATTTAGCAGAATTTCCAAGTGTGACTGTGAGTGAGGAAGCACTTCAGCTGTTATGTTGTAAATATACAAATACAATAGTGACTTTGTTATTGTAAATTAAAGTTATAGGAATCAATCTGTATAATCTGTAGATCGGGTCCATTCTAAAAACACTTCCATGCATTACATGTCACATTTCAGTTATAAGTGGCTATTTTTGGACATTCTGTTTTATGATAGTAAGCCTGAAATTAAGTGTTTAGTCGAACTCTTAGCTTTCTTAAGAGGGCTTTTTCGAACAACCTTGTTGTCTCTCACAGTTGGCAGAAAAGCGACGTAAAACGTCATTGACTTGTAATTGTGTTTGCGCTAATGCTATGTCAATCCAGAGCCTGGTCTCCTTTGTCCAGTCTGTAGGGCATTTGGCTGCAGCAATAAACTTGGCAAGCAAGATAACAGGTGAATGGCCATGGCCTAATAGGCCATCTGTGGAAAACACATTGCAGTCAATTAAGAGTCCACTGCCTCCAGTTGTGGCCATTAGAAAGCCCCACTTCGACAAGTGACTCTTCAGTGGCTTTTACTCTGCCCACTCCTTTTCATACACGCTGTCCTCGAGCTGCCCAGTCCCTCACAGACTGTCTTTTTGTCTAGTTCCGTTGTCCACTAGGCTTTTTTCTAGTTTCTATCAAAATGCAGTTTTCCACTCAAGGATTTGATGTGACCCTGATGGTCAAACAGAGCCTCCTTCACTACCTATTTATCTCTGCTGTCCTGCTCATTTTATTCCCCCCACTACACCACACAAAAGAAACATGGCTCTTCCTTCCTCTGGAGAGGACATACTTGAGAATAATAACATACACACAATAAACTAATTTAGTCCATAACATTTAGCCTTTACTATTTTTCACATGCACGTGCGCACCCACGCACACATACACGCACTTTAAAAGGGGACGTATGTTAATATCTTAATATGTATTCACATTATGATAAAAAATTATATATATATATATGATTTTTTTATTCATATCAATAATAAATATCTCTAATAAATCAAAAAACTAGTGTGCTCAACTCATATTTGTTCATTTCATCAAATATAAAGTTTGTTAGATGACACTAAGAGCACTAAGGGGAGTGTGCTGAGAATGTAGACACCATTTTAAATTGCAGAACTGAGAACAGTTCACTATAATAAAGCTCATTAGGTTATACAAATAAGAAAACAATCGTTCTTGGGGTCTTCAAAATGTGTCCACCATTCATATAGTAGTTCCAGACTTGAGACCATGCAGTTGAGACTTCTTTTATTTTCTGAGTGAGTTGCTCCTGTTCACAAATATTCATTGATGTTTAAGCTATGAAAAAACATACTGAACATTTTTATTTAAGCAGTATTTCCCTGCGGTGGACTCTCATCATTTCAGACTGATTTCAAAATAATGCGAAAGCTAAGACGTGACAGAGTACATATTTATCCGAGTATATGAAATCAAACATGTCACTGTGGCGTAGGCGTTCCCGCAGCCTTCAGTTGGCTTTATTTTGAGTATAGTACGACACTAATGTGGCACTCCTTGTTTTTTGGGCTCATTGCCATTTGCTTAGCAGGTTTGTTTTATTTTTTTACCCGGACCTAGGCCAGCTGATATGGCTAAGTGCAGGAAAGGCTTTTTCTTTATGTGATACAAGTTAACCTGCTTTATGCCAATTTGTGTCTGTGTTTTCCAAAGCAATTTAATCAGCTCTTATGTTTGCACGAGTGAGCCCAACACATCTCATAAAACAAGACTTTCCTGTTGAACAGGAGGGAAAACAGCCCGGTGGTATTCACTCCACAGCATCATTCACTATTTATTTGATTGGCTTCTAAGAACCAGTCAGTAAACATTGCTCTTAATCAAAGGTGGGGCTATCATCTCATCTTCACCTTCAGCCTCATTCACAATGCCAGAAGTAATGCTTATGGTTATGAAAAAGTCTTATATGTAATCTTTTTGAATGTTGTAAGATGTAGCAACGTTTCTCACCTCTCCACAGGGCAGTGTGTTCTAGTTCCTGCTGCACACTATTCACATCGTTTCATCTTCCAACTCTCAAGCTCCATCGTTTACTTTTTCAAAAGAAGATATGAAGCATCATAAATCTAATTGTTACAGGAACGAATTTGCTCAAAACATAAAATACTGTAAATATTCAACTGGATGTGTGTGTTTGTCTAATAATATATATATTAATTTGCCCTTCTACTTTGCAAATTGATTATTACAAGCAGTGTATTCAGATTGTTGACTTCAATAAAAGTAGCAATACCTCATTGTATTGAATTCATAATTTAAAAGTAAAGAATTCTAAGCAATTAATAAATGTTAGAACTCTTTACGTCAATTCAACTCAAAGATCAAGTAGCTCTCAAAAATGTAGTGCAGTAAAAAAAAGAAATTATCTCTAAAATATTTTACAGAAGTACAAAACCTTATTTTACATATAGTATAGGATTACCCAAGCTGGTCCTACAATAAAATGTGTTGGTTTACAATATTTTGGATTAAAAGAGAACATTGAACACAGCATCATTTTCAAGAGTTTTAATAATTTACTACAAAAGAGTGTAAAAGTAACAGACGTCTCCCACTGAAGTGGATCTGTTCATATTCAAAGTGATGACAGATGTAACAAATGTTCGCAAACTTGCCCACCTCTGTTCATTTGCGTACACTTATGGTACTTGGCAATTCAACCTCTTGGCTTTAATTAAATGAGTTTTGCACTGTATACTGTATATCAAAAAAGCTCACAGCAAAAAAATACTTTGATATGAATCACTTGAAAGTAAACCAACCAGCATGAAATGTACAGCTTTAAGAAAATAAAAATAAAAACACAGCTGAAAAGTGTATATACAAACATGCTAGGAGTGGAGCTGAAGAGACAGGCCTTTCTAATGCTTCGCTTGACATCATTTAGTAGCGCCAATGAAATAAAGCATCATTCTTAAATATTTTAATAACCTTGCAATATTCAAAAACCATGGTCTTCTATTGCCTATTTCAAGTTTTTTAGCAGAAGAGGAACACTTTATAAATATAGAGTTTATTGTATCTTCTGCATCAATTAGTTTAATTTAAACTCATTAAATAAAAAGGTAACATTTTCAATATCTGTAGAAAATAAAAACAACAACTTAAATGTTCATACTGTGTCCACTTTTAAAGAGATGATTGTTTCCATCACCCTCATCATTAAGTGCCTGCTTGGAAGAGGTAATATATATTTATATACACATTTATATATTTATATATCAAATTCTATGACATGATATAATTTGTATAAATATGGCATCTTTACAATTGCATTAACATGACAATTTTATTTCTGATCCCAAGACAATTAACAGTCAATTGGGAAATGCCTTGTTTAAGTTTCTCATTTTCTTGTTTTAAATATAAAAAATAAGTCTCAATTATTTGCAAATGTATGTCTTACATCATAAACAACACCTCTGTCCTAACTGGTCAAATATGTTCCATTGTGTTCATATCTACAACACTCTGGAAGGTGAGGAAAAAGTGCCATTATCAAATGCTCCCTTTGGAGTAAATGAGGACCTTTTGCCCCTCAAAAGTTTCATTGACCCACTGCAAGTCCCAAAAAGCTCAAGAGTGCAGTTCTATACAAAAATGTAAAAGCATCTTTGATGAAAAAAAGCCATGTGTGTGTGATGTCATGCCACTTTGCTGGTTGTACAATACGAAGTTATGTGGCCCTGCACGGATGTCACTTTTCACAAGTGAAGGTGTAGAAAAAAATAAACCTTGTAGAAAGCTTCTCTGTAAATGTCAGATGCTTCAAATTACACTAAGAGGTGTGGGACGTAATGCTTTTAGATCAGAAGAAATGTAACATTGTGATATGTCAATAAAATGGACACGGTTTGTTGGATCCATCGGTTTCCCCCCTCAAAAAGCACCATAATGGACCAGTTGTGAAGGCTCAAGCTGTAATGGGTTTGCAGGCTGTCACGATTCACAAGTGACAGTTAGTTATTGTTCAGAGCTTTTCACTTTTCCTATTCAATACATTCCAGGCATGGGAGAGTACTTTCTGCCCTGTCCTTATCCCCATTTGGCCTTTAAATCCACGTCTACCCGAAACAACAGAAGAGCTCTGGTGCTCTCTGGTGCCCAGAAGGAGGAAGTGTAGGCACAGAGGAAGTGAAGGGAACATCTGTTTCCTTAGAGCTGTCCTGTGAGTCTCACGCTGCTAAAGCATGTTCAGGATGGCATTGTACATCTGGACCAGTACAGCCAGGTGGACGGGCAGGCAGGACTGGCGGTCCTGGGAGGCAGGGGTACACGTCAGCCAGGACAGAGCGTTGTACTGCTCCAATACAAACCTGGGGTTAAGAAAATACAACAAATTGTCATAATTACTTTATTTATACAGCACTTTTCAAAACAGCGTCACAAAGTGCTTTACATGGATTAAGAACAGGATGTTCAGGCAACAAAGCATGCGGTAAAAATTCCCCAAAACCCACCCAATACAACATACAGCATTTCAAAAATAGCAGCAGTAATACAAAAAGTACAAGTAAAACAAATAGAACATGGATTTAGAGTAAAACAGAGCAGTGTCATCATTACTTCAACGCTTGAGACATTCTGATCCAATTGTCATGCTGTTCTAGTAAATCCATCCAGTAAATCTACTTTTATTTCCTATAGTGTGCACTAAAAGATTGGCACTGTCAATATTGAAAGCAAATATTTATTAAGTATTAATTTAACATATATTAACACATATAATGGCTCCCAATTATTTGAATTTTGAATGTATTTATATTGATCAATTATAAATGACAGATTGAGATTCAATCAAGACAATTTAAACAACAAATAAACGTGTTTGCACTGTTATCTGAGACCACTGTTGTCATATCTTATCAGTTATGATGTATTTCTATGCAAATGATAAGATGTAGATTTTTACTCAGAAATAAATATTAATATATATTAATAAATAACAGTATTTAATGTCAATATTTACATTTGTGTTACTTTAGCTGAAGGCCGCAGGCTTTGAAGGGTTCATCCTGTTTTGTACTCACCCTCAAATATATTCCTATAGAGCAGAAGATAATGAAGTGTAAAGGGACAACATGTCATTTACCTGAGCACATCAGAGGTGGTCTTTGAGTCTAAGGGGTGAGGGGTCCTCTTTGTCTTGTCTGACACCAGCTCATCAGGCTGGGCTATGGATATGTGGTGGTGGAGGGAGGCCTGGAGAAAAGGAAAAGAGGGGAAAATGTCAAATGTTGAAGCATCCCTGGCTACACCTTATGCATTCTTAATGTTAAAGCACATAGTTAAAGCTTTTTTTCTTTGGTTTTCTTCTTTCACCCACAGGCAAAGCATACAGAGCTGTGGTTACCTTGAGGAAGAGTGGACACTGGCTCTCAGCCTGCGGACAGGAGGCCCAGAACCAGTGAGGGAGTCCATTGGCTTGTGCAGTGGAGACGTAGTAGCCCAGAGCTAGCGGCTGCTGCTTCAGCTCCTCTGGAGGACTGTCCCTGGACATCAGGCGCTCTCCCTGGCTCTTTACAAACACAGGAGAAGGCCACTTATTAGTTACAAACCTTCATGGTGATCCTTTCTAATCCTTTGCACTGGCATGACTGGTTTGTTCTCCTTTAACAATAATAAAAACATGTAATTTTCAAGGCAATGCAAAAAGCATGAAAAGAGGACTGTTGAAACTCCTAACAAAAGAACAGAAGACCTCCTCACGATATACTGTAGCTCAGCAAATGCCCTTATTGTTTTTTTTCCGATGCTTTTCGCTTGAATGCAATGCTTGTAATTAAAAGATAGTACACTACAGAAAATGTGAATGTTATACTGGTTTTAACAAAAAATTATTTTATATCCTTATAAGCTTTTATTCACATTGAGTCAAACTTGTTTCAAGACAACATATATATTTACATGTTTTGCCCGTAGGTCAATGGGGACATGACATACAACCTCCATATCAAGTTACTATAGCGTGTTATTGTACAGCTACACACTGATCCCACAGTTTGTCAGTACTGAAGGAAATGTTCTGTAATATAGGTTGTCAACATGTCTCTTCTTCTGTGCCTCCAAGACAAATTCCTATGCGTCTATTATACCTGGCAAAACTGTAATTCTGATTCTTCTTTGATAATATGAAGTGTTGAGTGTCAGTCTGCAGAGAAGAAGCTCCCATGCCTCAAAGTACAGAATCACATCTGAACCTGAAGAGGTATGATTTATGTTTCCAATAAAACATTTCTGTAATAAACAGTTGTACATAGCAATTAAAATGCTTCTTATATGTTATATGATTCACTCTACAGGTCAAATAGGGCTATAACAACCGGTTTATTTTTTTAAGGTATATCAAGGTCACAGATTATATGTTTGCTATGTGTGTGTGTTCTGATCACACCCTGTATTTCACTTATATCCTGAGTCAATGCAGTCTTCTTTCTTCAAAACAATGTGTAAGTAGAAATGTGTATATCACTGTGCTTTTGTCATTGTTTTCCTTTGTAAGTGGATGTCATTTACTGTACTACTGCTCACACTCCTGTAGGATGACTTCCTTCCACTGGCCCATGACTCACCTTGGTGTGCTGGAAATTTGATCCCATTCCCATCCCAGAAGGAGACCCCGGCGAGGGCACAGGGGAGGTGTTGGGGGACGGGTGGAGGTTCCCTGTGATCAGCATCATGTCATGGCCAATGTCGTTCTCCAGCTCATCAGGGAAAGGCAGATCGAACATATCATCTGGGGGAAAAACGAATGATGTTAGCACAGCCCTTATCAACCTAAACTCTAGTCATTAACATGACACATCTCCACTTTGAGGTCCTTTCCAACCAGCACATTTCATATTCAAACAAAGTGGCACAATGAAGTCCATAACAAGGAAAAGCCATCTGTGACTGGGTAGAGATGTTTTAGCACTAAGATGCCACCTGTTGGTACAAAATATTAAATCTGAACCATAATAAACAAGGTTAGAGTTTTATTTATGTGTCCTGACTAGGCATGTGACAATATAAAACATTCATGTTGTGATTATCCTGGTCAAAATAATACAAATGTTATTATCCTGGTAATCATCAAAGCATGCTTAAAGCTTAAGATGGCAGCAAGAGATAGTGGAATCCCTTTGACTCACATGTTGCTATCTTACATTTTCTAAATTCAATTTCAGATAGGAAAAACCTCTTTTTTAGTGATTGTGTGAGTCTTTTCTTTCTAACATAACAATTAATGTTATTTTAAACCAGAATCAATTTTTAATAGCAAGGAGGAAAGATTTCCAAGTCACTTATGTGTCACTCAATATGTTATTTTGATAATTCATCATCATTAACAGGAGAGCTTTCCTCCTATATTTTACTTACTCTAGCCTTAAGTAATCGTGTGATTAAATGATGAGTGTTATCCTGCTAGTTGTTACCATTATTGTCCTCCGTGGGGTAGGAGCTGGGGGCCAGCTGGGTAGTGGCAGAGGTTGGGAAGACGAGGATGTGTGTACATGAAGCATCCTGAGGCGTGTTCAGCTGGGAGGTCTGCAGATTCAGAGCAGTACTGCGGCCGAACACTGAGCCCATGGTGACTGCATCTGGACACAAAGAGAAACACAGCACAGGGCTATGTTAATACAAGGGATACCAAACATTTGTGTGAAATAAAATGGACCATGACTACTGCTTTTTCTTTTTCTTGCTGAAACTCATTTACAGTTGTTTCTTGTTCGCACTATTTAGCAAAACAATCTTGGATCTTATCAGTTTTTCAAACATTGTATCACATTAACTGTATTTCTTGACTGTATTATTAACAATTTCGTTTTTTTCAGAAATGTTTGACATACTATACTATGACTTTAAACAACATTCTGGCTTTTTTCAACATACTAGTTATGACATCCTTTCTTTATTTTAGACATGGTAAACTATGACCTGCTGTACAAACTGTACCTGGTTTTTCGGATATTTTTGATGTACTATACTATATGTAGTTTAAAAAAAAAAATCTGACATTCTGTTATTTAACTTTTTTCTACATACTATGTCGCTTTTTCTGACATTTTCGCCTTTTTATACTATATAGATTTTATTTATTTTTATATCCCTTTTTCTGAAATTTTTGACAAAAAAATTGTCGACATGATATTATTTGACATTTTTCAACATACTACATTGTGTCGCTTTTTCTGATATTTTCGACATACTATAGTCATTTTTTGGGGAAATGTTCAAGTAAGTATACTATCATATGACTACTACTATACTACTATTAATGCATTGTTGAAGATGTACAAGGCTGATAACGTAAAGGCGTTGGCCTACTTGCTGTGGCTGATCCCTGGACACCCCGGCTCAATTTCAACCCTGCCCATCATTTATGTTGTAGTTTTAGAAAGTGTACAGGCTACTAACCAGGCATGATCACAAAGGAACCTTGTGGCTCCATGGCTACCAGGCAGGCACTGAGGATACTGGGGGAGTCAGCAGCTGAGATCCCACACATGCGACATGCCTCCTTCAGCTGGCGCCCTATCGAATGGAGGGAATGCTCCCCAAGGAGTGAGCTCCAGTCTGGTTCAGAGAGAGGAAGGGAGATGCATAAAACAGAAGGAGAGAGAGATATGAAATAGTCTTTAAATTGATCATTCTCTAATTCAAAGCTCTTAAATAATTCTTGGGGGAAAAGAAAAGAAAGGAGAACAAATAAAATAAGAATGATAAAAACACAGATGTGTGTAAAACAGTGAAAAGGCAGTCCACTTTACATGTATGAAGTGTATGTCATATAATATTATGGTATCATGGTCATAGTTAATGTTGAAGAAATGTCCCTACTTACTGCTTTGTCTTCGCTTGAAGCAGAGAAATGTTCCCAAATGAACATTCACTTATTTGTTTTTGTCAATATATGCACTCAGAAACGAATTATAGTGATCTTAAAGTAATGTTTTATCCAAATTAGAAAATAAATCCAAATGATATCTTTCCTCAAACAAGTACTTAATATTCCCCTTGAACATGGCTTAAGTGTTTTTCATGTGTTTCAAGACAAGCCTGGCTTCTTTTAAAACCGACGTCACTCACCTTTCAGCTCCCCGTGACCCAGTCTTCCTAATCGACCAATCACAATCCTCCATGGCATTGAGGTCATTTGGATGATCCCAATACACCATTCCCACAACCTCTGTAGTCCCATCTTTCTGGCTGAAACCTTGGGACGTCGCGCTCTGGATTGAAGAAAGGAACAATGAAATACGTAGAGATATCACAAACAAAAGCACAAAATAATATTTTTAAAAAACTGAGTACAGAAGTAACCAATTTTCTCACCTGTTGGGTACATCAATGTTGATAATGCTAGTCTCTAGGAGCTCCCCCTGCTGGTCGGTGCAGGAAACAAGGATCCAGCGCTGGTCGTGTGATAAGCAGTATCCAACAAAGAGCACATTATATTTGGGAGGGATCTCTGCCCATATCTCCCCTTGTTCTGGCAGCTTGGGACGGGTCGGGCCAAGGATGAAGGGGGGGGTGTACAGCTGCAGTGGGCTGGGATGCTGGAGCAGGAAATTACATTTCAAGTAAGAAGTGTGAATTAATATCAGGAGCAAGTATATAATAATCAGTCTGGAAAGTTGATTAATTAATTTGCCTACCTCTGGACTCTTGAGTACAGCATTGACAGTGGAAATGGGTCCAAAGCCAGTCAGGGACTTTATGTATGTTTGTTGGGGCAGCAGACGTCTGCATTGGGAGTAACAGGAGAAGGACAAGGAGCGCAGATGCTGCAGGTAGAAATGACTCTCCCCACTGGCCGGCTGGAGAAGGTACTGACATGGCACCACCTAGGTTAGACAAATGAAGATAGAAAGAAACGATGATGATGACAGGAGTGGGAGTATTCTGTTTGATTCTGTAACTCTGAGTATCTCCCTACCTGTAGCACCAGGGCAGGTCTCATGGTCTCAGGCAGAGTCTGCAGCATATCTGTGTAGCAGCGAAGAAGCCCTAGTAGCCAAATGCTACTGGAATCCACCTCGTCACCCTCTTCGTCCTCTCCCACTTCATTTCTCGCTCCACTTGAGCTGAGAAAAGCATCCACTATGTAAATAACAATAGCTGGTGGGTTGGCGCAGCTGTCGATTGAGTCGGGCGCAGTGGGGATGCCGATTCCGGACTGCTCAGCAGTGCTATAAGAGAGCAAAAGAAAAAAGAAGTTGTATATTTATTGTACTAGTGGGGCTACATTTGAGTTGAGTTGTTTTCCTCAATAAGTCTCACAGTTCAGGGATTTCCGCTGGTGTGTTGGCTGGTGGTGTGGCACTGGAAGGCGCTTTAGAGTCGCTGGTTGCTCCTTGGGTTCTTTCCCCCGTTTGATTTGAGGTTACTGCGGTCGGGGCAGAAGTGTTTCCTGACCCAGCAGTGCCTGGAGCTTGTCCTCCATCAGGGCCCCAAGCTTCGGGCTGCGCTGAAGAGGCAGGCTGGGCTGAGGATGTGGGGTTTGAGGGAGGCTCGACTTTGGGGGGCAAAAAAAGACTGTTGTCTAAATGCAGTCCTGACAGCTGGGGACCTGCAAAAACAGAAAAAAACACACTTAGTAAATAATATTAATAATGTATCCATATTTGCTGTAAGCATAAAATACACCAAGAAACCCTGTAGAATCATCATGATCTCTCCATTCTCTATCACTCAAACGCACCTTTCCTTCATCAGGGATTTGAATTTCAAAGACAAAAAGTTATTTCAGCTCTTATAAGTATTTTGAAAGCACTCTCTACCAATCTACCAAACTAGGTCTGTGAGCCTATAAATAACACAACAGGACCTACTTTCTTGACGGACACAGTCTCACCATCAGTCATGATTACAGAGAGACATTCATTTACCTCAGAACGTCTTCCCTAGGCTGTCACACCACTGAAGGCATTATCTGAATCGGCCCCAGAAATAAGCCACCCTCTAAGTGGTGGTATGGGGTGAGCAAATACAATTAGTCCGTGTCAATATTCTCACCAAGTTGCTGCTTGCAGGCATATGCATAAAGTTTAAGTTTGCTGAGGTTGTCCGAGTGCTGCTGTCCCGCCCAGGGTCCCGTCACCCACTGGTCCACGTCCAGCTCCTCCAGCTTTTCTGGCTCCACTTCCTCCCCCACTCGCACAAGACCATCCCTGGACACTCTGGTCAGAGGACGGTGCTTCCCCAGCCGGCACGTCTGGAAACAGAATCAAGGCTTATGTTTATTCTCTGATTAGAAACACTTATCAATATGTGTTGAAAAACTACAATGCTTCCGATTCAGAATCCAATCACTTACCTCGTAAACAGCGCTGAGCTCCTGGAAGAAGGCCCGGGCTGCAGTCAGCAGAGAAGGACTACTGGGACACAGAACCAAATACGCCACATCCCGCTGCCCACCATAAGGCTCCAGCAGCAGCTTCTCCCAAAAAGGTAATGCCAAAGGGGACAATGCCAAGAAGTCCCTCTCCCGGTCATAGCCCAGTAACACTGTAGGGATGGGCAAGGGCTCCGGGGACTCCTCCGAACCTTAGACAAATAGAAATAGTACCCTGTTTAGTTGGCTCTATGCATAATATCACAGGCAACATAAAGTAGCAGACAGAAGATTTGTATTCTGCATAAGATCAAATATCTTGGCTCACCGTAGGATCCTCTTCCGGCCATCTTATGGAACTGCTGCCAGGTGAGTGGACCCTGAACATGCTGGATGTTTTCCCACGTCCGTCCTGTTCTCTTCTTCTGGATAGCATCCTGCAGGAAAGGCTGCAGAGACAGCAGCATACGAACCATATCCTGGGACGACAACATGTTCATGTCCACCACTGTGGAGATTGTCGGACACACACACAAACACACAAAAAGGATACATGAACAACGGATGCACACATGTTAACATGATTCTATACACCAAATAAACAAAAAACACACATAAAACAAATCAATACACAGTTTAGATAACATAATGTCAGTAACATTTTCACCAAATATCCGTTAAGTAGGAATGATTTAACTTAGTTTATGACACACTGTAATCCCAATAATGCATTTGGTTATGTTTACTTTGTATACTTTTCTTCAGCATCTTCTTACCATTTGTGTGCGGCCAGGAGTGAAGAGCGGTACTTCTGACGACAGCTGGATCTACTTTTCCTCCTGTGGGGTTATCCACATACTGTAGCCCCTGTCCCAAGGCATTGTAACAATCCACACAGGCATCACTCTCATCTGCCCACTGCTTTTCAGACGTCCAGCTTTGCAGCAGCGCCCCCTTGCGGCCATGGCAGGAACAACTGAGGGGGAGATGCATTGATGCCAGGGAAGAGATGGGCTGCGAGCACTGCTCCTGCAGGAGGACCATGACTAGCAGAGAGGCGGGGGCTGCATCCTGCGTCCGTTTGGCCCTAGGGTCACCCATAGTGGGGTCCCTCCGGCAAAGAGCCAGCCTCCTCTCAGCCGCTCGGCCGACCTCAGAGGTCCGACCAAAAATATCCAGCTCGTCCTCCAAGAAGAGGCCTGTGCCGTGGGCCAGGCGCCTGTTCACAATGGCACTGAAGCCACACATACAGCGGTACTGATCTTCACAAGTGGAGTCAGGGATATACACGCCCACATCTGCTCCTTTGACATTCATATTGCAGGCACAGATACAGCAGCTGTCAAAGTTGCGGTCCTTGAAGACGTTGAGGACGGAGTCTGAGAGCAGGAGGATAGCGTACAGGCTGTGGGCCTCAGGCAGGGAGGGTCCCGGCCGAGCTTGGTGCTCCACAGAGCTCAGAGGCAGGCTGGTGGAGGGGGTGGAAGCCGGGGAGCTGAGCTCAGTACCATCCTGCTTCACAGAACCATGGCCAGAACTTGCAGCGTTGATACCCCTTGGTGTACGAGGGGTGCGGGGGGTGGGCACAGAGAAGCGGGGAGTGGCAGGAGACGGGAGGATGCCAGCAGAGGTGCTCACAGAGGTGGCACTCATCTGGCCGTACTCCTGGTCAGCAAAGTTGTTGACACTGGGCATGTTTCTGAAAAAAACACATTCAAGAACATAAACATAATATTCAGATAGACAACCAAGATCACTTAATATGTATGAGCAGGATCTCTTTAAGGGCCAAGACTACAAGGTTAACATCAACATATAAAATATAATGTGGATATTCAGGATCTCTTAGTGACAAAATCTTGCCATCTCTAACTACTCACGTGTATCCATCTCTGTTGAAGGTTGCGTTCTGGTTATGCATGACTGGGAAATGCTCCATTTTGGGCATCATGGCCCAGGATGGTCGATAGTAGCATTGCTCGGGAATCTTGAGTGGTGGGAGATTCTGACTGGGTAAGCAGGTGAGCGGAGCAAACATAGAGGAGCCTATCGTTGGCTGGATAAAGAAGATGTAATGGAAAAAATTGTGTCTCTTAGTAATACAGAGGAATTTGGTTCACATATCAATCTAGTAAGAATGCCTTGCAAGAAATAAGGTACTTTAGTTAGCAGGTTACATGTTATGCTACAGTAAACTATAAGTCGAGTAAAATCACACAAAACATCAAGTGGGATAATCTAATCTACAATGTACACTCCGTGATCCTTCTATATTAATGTAGCAGGGAAGAGCCCCTTTTTGCTTTTATAATAGACCCCTCACCACCATAATAATGGTTATATACTGTATATATATGTATAATACATGGTTATACTGTATAGCATTCAACACTTTATAAACTATAGAAGCTGTGGCACATTCCAATAAAAATCCACTACATTCGGAGTTGACACACTGTCATTAAGTTACTCTATTTTGATCAGATACATTCTGCTGCTAAATTGAACCTCTCAATTCTGTTTGCATATTGAGTGGCACTAACGATACTTGTTGTCTGTGATGACGAGCAGCTGCACTTTATAGTGGCCATTAAGTGCCTTCTCTCTAGTCTAGTCTATAATTTGCACGTCCCCGCTGCAGTGCGTACAGGTGTCACCACACAGAGATAGCTAATTAGCATGCTACAGGTATCGTGAACCATATCCAACATGTTGTTTTAGTGCGACAGGAGTGGACTGTCAGTCAGTCAAAAATTGTATTGACTTTCCCCTTCCCCCTTTATATGGATAAAAGTACATTTATGAAAGAAATGAACCAGCCCAAGTCCCTTTTCTCTTCCTAGTTTAATTCACTCAGTTCATGTTTTAACACATGACAATGCAGCTATATGTGCTGCACATGTATTTGATTGTCTCTCCTCACCTTGATATCCTCCTGCCGTGGACTGGCCATGCCATCCTCAATCTCCATCCTGTAGTCAGTAAACTGGGAGGAGAAGTAGGGCAGCATGTGGTCCGCTGCCCCACTGTGAGTAGGGGGCTCTTGGCTGGGGAGGTCACGATACGGCGTGATGGGAGAGAAGGGAGGGTGCTGCTCTAAAGAAGGCGGGGTGGGAAACATCCTCTGAAGGTCTGCTACTGCTGAAAGGAGACAGAAATTGAGATGGAGAGAGGAGATGAAAACATTGAGGTGTAATGGGAAAACACAAAAACTGTACTTAAATATAAACTTTTTACATGATTTGCTCATTAAAGTGACTCACTGGATGGATAAGGTACCGCAACTCTCCCTTCTTTCCCCAGAGGGCGATCTTCTGAGGATACTGGTAGCTTGGTTGAGTGCTTGTTGGGGTAAACAGTTTACATATTATTACACATCAGAATACACTTTCCAACTTGAACATATTTAGGCATTACACATAATGGTTGATTAGTATACAACTACATAATATCACAGCTTCTGTTTTCACTTAATCTTTCAACATAAAAACTGTGACTACAGTAAGTGTGCCAGAACTAAAACTGTCAGACAAATGTCAGAATACAGAATATGCCTCACCCCCAACTCTTCTTCATCTTCATCAAATATGTTGTCGAGATCAGAGATGTTGACCACCAGATCTTTCTCTCTGGTCAGAGAAGGGTTGGCTTTGGCAGCTCCGTCATCCTGACCTGATTCGTCTAAGAGAGCACACAAAAAACTTAGGAACAATGTCTGCTAACAACCCATGTAATACTGCACTCTGAAATGATTTTTCGGCACCCACCTGATTTTGGAGTTGAGTTAAAAATGGACATAGCATCTTTCCCCTCAGGCAGTGTTCCATTGCTGGTGATTTCTTCTCCCTGGTGGATCAATAAGAATAAAGTAAAACATTGTTTGAATAAGACATATAGCATGTTTTGCAACACCACAATCAGTCATGTGATCCACGGTTAGAAAATCATGTGTTGGAATCTAAACTATCACTGTATTGAGTTATTAAACCATGTCCTACCTTAGCCTTTTTGCTGGGTTCTCGCCCTTGACCCTTTAACCTCTTGGAAGAGGAGAAAGTGTACTCGATGTCTCCTTCCTTAAAGTCGTAAGGGTCTTCGCCGGGCTCCCGCAGCGCCTCCACACCCGGCTGCTGCAAAAGGCCCAACGCCTGGATGTGGTCCTTCAGCCTCTCCTCTGAGATTTTAAATCTCTTGTGAGTCTGTGTGTATAGTCTGGAGGAGACAAAGAGTAAAACAAATCTAATAAAGTGTAGTAGTGAAAATGTATTATTTATGTCAAACATGCTTTCTTCCATTGCATCATATCTAAACTCATATCTTATTAAAAACTCTATTTATTGGTCCATAAATACTTTATCATATCACCAGTTCTAACTGCTTAAGCTGCTAAATTAGTGCAATGTGTATTGTTTAAGTGTTGTTTAGTATGACTCTGGCTCAGGTATCACAGGCAGTTTTTTGCATCTCTTTATCTGTATTCTTTGCTGGTCTTTGCTATTGACATTTTGCAAAACCCTCCTGTTTTTTCTCTCTCCCACCTCTTTAGTGGAACTCCCTCAGTCGCTGTGTCCGTCTTCACTTCCTCTAACTTATCAGTGGGGAGTTCACAGGGTCTGAAGTCAGTCTTATCAGTTCTGGGGGTCCTGAAGCCTCTCCACCAGCCCGCCTCATTCTCCCTCTGCCTCAGCAGAGCTGCATACATGGCCGTCTCGCTGTTAATCATCCCCATCCCTGAAGACCCATCCTGACAGACAGGCATATTTATGGGCCCGTCCAGGACCTCCGGGTCCTGCCCCCGGGGGTGGGGGCTGAGTGTAGGAGGCAGGGGAGACATTGGCGAATTGAGCAGGGAGTCATGGGCTTTTCTGCCATTGGAGAGGGGTTTAGGATACTTGCAGTTTGGCAGAGGGGCCATAGGCTCCAATGATGGCTCTAAAGCCACAAGACCCCCGAGCTGGGGCCCTCCTGGCGAGTCCTGCTCCAGGGGGCTCTCCTGTGTGACGGATAAACGGTGGTGGAAGGCAATCGTTGCTGGCCTCTTGGATTGTTTGTCAGCCTTCTCCGTCTTGTCACTGATCTTTTGTTTGGGCAGCGAGGGAGGGTATAATGAGGGGCCCGAGGACTGAGGGGGGTTGGCACTACTCTGGGGGTTGTTGGTGGATGTGGTGGTCAGATTCAACTTCTGCTGCTTCAACCTGTAACACAATCAAGTAGATTGACAAACAAAAAAGAATGTGAACAACCTTAAAGGAACTGTTTTAAGGTCATTATTACATAGGTCTTTCTTTAAAGACACAATAGAATCAGAATCAAGTTTATTGCCGAGGAATTTGCTTTGGTATTTGGTGGTGCAAACATAAACAATCTATAAAAATAGCTTTCAAAGGAGGTTAAAAAAATAAATATATAAAGATAATAAAAAATAAGTATTTTTAAGAAACAATTTAGCAATAAAAAAAGGACAAGTATTTACACCAAATTTAAATGTAACTATACAATTAACCTTAAAAACTAAAAAACTAAAACACTTAAGACGATGAGTATACAGTATGGCAAACTACAGTGTATTTTTATTTTAAAGTGGAGGGCTGTGCAGACATGTGTGCAAAAATGTTCAAAAAGCAGTCAGAGTTGAGCATGAACATGGCTCACAGTATTAAAAAAACACAAAAAATAAAAATAATGGGCAATCTTTGAGTTGTCCATACTTATTCTTCTAATATTCACTTTCTTTGGGCAGTTTTACAACTACTAAGTCCCATTGACTGTTATCATCCATCTCTTTTCTACAGAGCATTATTAGTCTCTGGTTTTATTTAAGTTTAGACTGTTATCTGACACTGCATTATTCACAGTATTTTACTATGAAGGATGTTGACTTAAGTATAACAACTCTCAGAATTCATGTGTATTTGAGCATCAGTCTTGTAAAAGTCTATATGTATTTTGTAATGAAGACAAACACAAAGCTCAGATAATGTATGATATGATATTGAGCAGTTGGGTGCAGCTCTGTGGTACCTGGAGCAGCTGCAGGATGATCTCGCCCCCAGATCGTTGAAGTCCCACGTGGTTCCTCCATTTGGCACATCCTTCTCAGGCGTCACGTCAGATGTCTGATTCGGTCTGCAGAGAACACACAGATCCATGAGGACAGCAGCTCACCTGCATCACTGCACCTCCACAATAATGCCACCAAACAGCGGAAACAAACTCGGCGATGGTTGAACTTACACATGCTGTGGCTGGTTGAGATAACACTCCCGCCATGCCTGATGGACCACCTGACAGGTGAGTTTCTTCCCAGAGTGCTTTGGGCTGATGCTGGCAACCCCCATGCTGCTGTCAGGTGTGGGGACACTAGAGACGGAGGTCACAAAGCCGCTGTCCGCTGAAAGGATGAAGTGTGGAGCAGATGTCAAAATGCATGAGTGAGCACATGATCTGGAAGACGTTTGTTTAATGTTGTATGTGATCTCCTGCAGGAAGGTGTGTGTTGTGTTACCTGAGCAGGGCTGCTGCGGTGACGTTGGCGGTGTGAGCGGCACGCTGCAGTGGTTCAGCTCCCTGCTGAGGCCCAGAGCTGTAGGGAGGGGTGGGGGCTGCTCCACTGGTAGGTCCCCCTGGGCTAACAGCACTAAAGCAGCTGGGTATGTCATCCTTACTCCACCTGAGAAGACGAGGAAAGAGCATTATTCACTTTTATGAAGCAATGGGATGGCCGCTGCTCATTTCTAAGGGCAATGCTTATGGAGCACAATTTTCAAGTCAGTTAAAACAACCAGAAGTGGGAAGTAGCGGAGTACAAATACTTTGTTAGTATACTTAAGTCCATTTTTCTGGTATCAGTACGTTACTCCACTACTTATTTTTCTGACGACTTTTTACTTTTACTTCTTACATTTTGAACACAAATACTTGTACTTTCTACTTCTTACATTTTCAAAACAGGTTTGTTACTTTAGCTTGAATCTGTGTTTGGTGGCGTGATCTTTATTATTTAGAGTCATTTCGTGCCTATTGATTTTAACACGATCCGTGTATCCATCATTTCCTGGTCTTCTCTAAAGAAGAGGGACCAATGAGAACTTTGTCATGTTGCCGTTGTTTAGCAGCTAACAATGACATTATTGTCCAATTACTATAAAGGGAGGTCAGTTACTCTGTAAAACCGCTGGTAGTTATGGGTACTTTTTACTTAAGTACATTACGAAGCCCATACTTCTTCACTTTTACTTGACTAAAGAAGTTTAGTCAGTACTTTTACCAGAGCATTTTTGAACATGAGTATGTGTACTTCTACTTGAGTAAAGGATGTGTGTTCTTTTGCCATCTCTGAAAACAACAGCTATATTTATTTTCTTATCATTCAATACCTTCATTAGAATTCATGTAAGAATATAAGTACAGAGGTATATAGTCAATGCAATGTACTTCCTCCTTATCTATTCATGTAATCAAACAGTTTCACTGCTAATATAAAACATATCATCTTAAATCCCATCGTGCACTTCTTCATTATCATTTCATGCAGCGAATACTGGACAATGTGTTCTTCTTATAAGTAAAAGCTACTGGAATCCATAAGAGTTTTGATTGTGATCAGGCCAAACCAACGCTGTGGGATCAGACTGATTAGTCCAAGCTGTTGGAGTAACTCCTCACGGCCTCCTCAATTTTCCTATCTGTCCTCTCCTAATTTCCTGAGTCCTTCTACCTTCCAGTAGTTTCCCCTTTTCCACTCTGAGATGTGATAAAAGACTGAGGATCATTGCAGCTAAAGTACACTCCAATAGCACCCTATACACCAATACCTCCGCTTAATAGAGACATGAAATGGAGACAGAGGGTTCCACGCTTTTTAAAATCCAACAAACATTTTTACTTTTCCCTTACCTACAATGACCTCAACTGCCGCGTGACAGTTGCGATCATAAGCTTGACCTGCTTCTTCTTTTTCCTTTTGTCCACTTCCCTCTTTCTGTGGAAGTACTATCGGGTAGAAGTAGCTCCACTCCTCCATCAGCTTCCGTGTAGCGGGGTCACTCATCTTGAAGGCCTGACCTGTTAGAGTGCCGCTCAGACCGTATGGACTTAGGATCACTGGGAGGACATAAAGCACGGTGTGATCAGTAATTATCTCTGAAGTGTTCCTGTATGTATCACACATAAAACATACACACTGAGGAGGTACATGGTAAGTTTAAAGAGTTTACAGAGGGTTGTCCGTAATAATCTTTAAAATATCAGTTTTTTTTTCTGTTCCAGCCAATAAGAAGTTGAGATAATCTCACATAATCGTTATACAATCAGGAGCTTAACTTTGCAGCCCTTGAACACATTTACTCTAGCAAAACTTAAGTATAATTCTGAGGTAAATGTTTCCATTTAAGGCTATTCTATACTTTTACAGTTCTCAATACTACAATTCAGAGGGAAATATTGTACTTTAAACTCCACAACATTTAACTTTAGTCACTAATTACTTGCAAACACACTCAAAAGTCAATTAAATGGTTTAAATTAACTAAATCTTGACCAACTACAACAGTAAACTTCTACTTATCAGTATAGAGTAGCATAACATTCACAAGATGCATTTTTTTCCCTTAATTCCAATTAGTTTAAATTATTTTAGTATATTTTGTTAATAATTCTTACATACTTTCAGTTATATATACACACTTACAATCTTTAATTAAGTAAAGGATCTGATGAGAATGTTAACTATTGCCGATATAATCTTTGAACAACATGTTTTCTATGAGGTTGAAGTTTGCATTTTCATCAGTTTGTGGTTGTACCTGTCTTCCATACAGTTTAGCTTATTTAACATTGTTTCTGTTTTGTACTGTAGAAGTAATCCATAGGGGAAACAATTGCTTCTTGGTGTCACCTTGTACTGGTGTGATGGAGGTCTGTGCGAGGCAGATGTGGTGTTCTGTGATGTGGTATGCAGGCTGGTGCTGGGCGATCTCCACACTCGTGCACACGTTGCTCTCCCCGTGGAGGAAGAAGGAGAAGGAACATGATAGGTGTTCACTGGGGGAAGGAGACAGTAATCATTTAGATTGTGAGACCACAGAAAGGCAGAAACAGTACAGGACTGTCTCCTATGTGTTGACAGTGATCTGATCGACACAAAATATGTCATACTGTGAAAAATGAAATGGATTAGTGAATATGAGTTTGCATGGCAACACAGAATCTCTGTCAAATATAATAACATGTGCACATACCTTCACATTGGTTAACATAATTCAATTGAGATTTAAATTGAATCTGAATGACATTTAATTATGTTAAAATTAAACAAACCCATAAATTACATCTATTGAAAAAACAATGTACAAAATGAAGACGCCGGTCTTTTGGGCAGCGGCACGACAGATGAGTGCTTTGCTCCAAACGGCCATTTAGAGAACAACACTCAGAATGTATCTTTGTGAAAGCCCCGCTAAGACCTACCTACATTGATCATCTTCATCATATCCCACACGGGCTCCTTATTGCAGGTATAAATCCTCATTTGCTTATGACTGATTGAGGTGACTACATGTTTACATATGCAGCGCTCTCTTTATTACACAACCCTGGCATAGTCCATCATGCATTGCTCCTTTTTTTCTTTTTAATCACAGAGGAGTCTTTTTGGGTGCCTTATTGCAATCTACATAGCAATTGGGCGTGCTGGACATCATTAACTACGAAGATGGCTTCACTGATGTATATTTTTAATCTATAAAAGATCCTCACCACCTTGGTTTGCATCAGACTGACAATAAAGTCAGGTACTGTAATCTCCTTGTGATAACCCTGCTGCCTGTGCAATATCTCCTTTGCCCCGAGGGAGCTGCTTCTCTTTTGAAGCTGTAATGAATCATCAAATTCAATCAAATGGCCAGTACCATAGTCCCTCATGATGAGCAGAACTGAACACAGTCTTAAGGGAGCTAAATATATTTGGCATTGGCCGTGGTGGCCTCCAGGTGGCGCCGAGTGCATCCTGAACAATTCTGTAATTCATAAACATTCATATGCTCTCAGTGATAAAAACATACCCTCATCACAGGTGGTTTAAACACAATGGCGCACAACCACAGGAGGAAGACAACAGAGAAAAGCACATTCATATGCAAGCCTGTGACACAAGCGTGCGTCACCTTTGCACACACACACACACACACACACACACACACACACACACACAGAAACACACACAGCACTAGTCTATCATCTTCACAATTTTCATTTGTACAACACATGAGTCAAAATGCTTTCAATGTCACCACCCTGCACCCTTGTCCTCAGTGCATCATTACGCCATATGAAGAGCTATATATAGCAGCATGGAAACACTCAGGAGAACAGCTGCAAGTCAAGAGTACCAGCCCAGCTAAGACATGCACATACAAACAATCACAATTTACATTTAGGACATTTAGTCAATTGAAAAACCACATGGTCCAACGGGTTCTTTATAAATAATGGGTCTTTATCAATACAAACGGCTAAGGCTCCAAATAATTAAGGAAGTGTTTTTATGTTTTCTAAAAGGCTGATTTGTTGATTGATTGATAAATTGTTCGATTTGTTTCACTTTCTGTTCTGGCCGCTCTGCCCTGATTAAATAAGGCTGTGAAATGAAGCATCCATTAGAATGTATTCCCTCTTGTGTTGATAATTCTGTTTGTATTGTTATTATATATTTTTATGAGATGTTTCGGGACTGATGTGTGTACAAAAACACGACTCCCTTAAGATAACTCGTAAAAACGGCAGCACTTATGGAATAGCGGCAAATCAATGTTGGAAATCATCTGTTCTCTCTTTGTATCTCTGTCTCTGCAGGATTAGAGGCTGGAATTAGTGTGTGCTTACAAAGAATTGTTCATCTAAGTGCTCTCAATGAAATCTACCTGATACATTACAAAGAAAAGCCGGGAAAAAAAGGCTTCTGATTAAAACGATCTAGTCATTTATTATAGTATACACAAGGAAAGCCCCGTTGTACACCATTATAAGTGAGGAACCCTACAAGCAACCAGCCTAACCATTAACTGATGTGCAACACTCATGACCTAATATATTATAGCTGCATTAAGGTGCAATTAAATGCTCGCAGGGAAAAGCAGAACGACAAAAAGAGTATCAAACTGTAGGCTGACGCAGCTTGGAGATTGATGCTCCCTGTCCTTTTACAAAGGGCATTTTTCTGCACAGTAAGCGGGTGTGAGCGTGTGGACACACTGGGCTTCTTGCATCCTCGGGGGACAAATGTGCACTCTGTAAGTGTGTGTGTATTTGTATGCATGTGTGTGAGGACAGTGGACAGAGATGTGAGGCGGCTGTGTGCCGGGCTGTATGAGTACAGGTATTAATAAATGAAGAGGAGTGATGGCTGAGACTCGCCTCAGGGCTGACAGAGCTGGAGAGATAGAGAGGAGGCAGAGAGAGAAAGGGAAGGGGGAGAGAGGGGGGGGTGAGAAAAGAAGTGAGTGCGAGGAGGAAGAATTGAGGACAGAAAGAAAGACAGCAGAAGAAGGAGATGGAGACAGAGCGAGCACTGGAGGTGTAACAATTAAGGCTATGCATGAACTGAGAGGAGAAGGGGAAATAGGATAGGAAGGATATTAGGAGAACAAGGAAAGAAAGATGCAGTGTAAAATGAGGAGTGAGAGCAAAACGAGTGTGAGAGAAAGAGGAGGAGGTGAATAATTCAGTGCCACGCACTACAACTGCTGCACACATATCGATGAGATCAGAGTTTTAATGGGTGGCTACTGAGCACAATTGTATGGTGAAATCAATCAGGGAATGTAGAAACAGAAAACACACACACGTCACTGTCCATGGCTTTATATGTCTGAGCTTGTATTCAGTGTTAACAGCAGGCACACAGATATATTGGGAGCCCACATGTGTATGTACGGCATGAAGTGGGAAGCACAAATGCACACACACACACGATGCCACAGTTATCGTAACAACATGTGAACGCAAGTTTGTGCATCACACGCATGTTTGATGCCTGTGAAAAAAAGATAAAACGGCTGTGCTGGGCTCATGTGACAATGTGACGCCACCAGCCAGCCAGCAGGGGAGCCGGGTAATGTCCGACATGCATCATGGACTTGACACACATGCATCTGTGTGAACAATCACATGGACACAAAATAACATCTCAGTTGTGGGGACGCTCTCATGTCTAACCCAGTAGGAGGAAAAAATAAAACGAGATTAGATCCGAGTTAGAAAGCTATAAACAGTGAGGAAATAAACATGTGCACCCTTTTATTTTCCTCTCCTACAGCCATCCAAAGCCTATGATGTGAGCACTGTGTTAAGATATCATTAACCAACATGTGCACTAAGCAGACATGATCTTAGATGTTCTCAAATCTGGGGAATTCATCTTCTAAATCTGTACCTTAAAGTCTCTGTCTGCCACCACAGCACCACTTGTATGAGTTATCTTTATATTCTAGCTCTTCTTAAACATTCTGAACACTTGTCATGGTAACACAAGAGTGTCAACATAAATCTCTGGTGGACCGATTAGCGGATGTTTACCGCCTTGTGAGCAGCGTTTGCACACATGCTCTAAAAGTCAACCGGCAAGATACGTTTATTCCATACAAACAAACAGGGCCAATAATCCCAGGCTAATGCAGGTGAGTGCATTTGTTCTGGCACACACGCATGATGACATACTAGTATTAACACGAGCATAAGAAGGATGCAGTCAGCTTTATGTATTATTCAGTGGCCCCCAGTGTGTGGTAAGGCTAGTGTTGCTATCCCGATGTCTGTGCTCAAACACTGCTCCGCCAAGATTCACAATGAAAAGGTGCTCAAGGACACAAACTGTACACAGTCATCATCGCCCTCTCTACGGGCTTAAGAAGCACAGAACAAATATCAAAATTAGATTACTTGTTAGTCCTGAAAAACCGCAGCTGTGAATAATTTGAGGTACCATGGGTTTTACCTCCATATCTGCTGTTCTAATTAAAAACAGAGGGAAAGCGTAGGTAGGATGTTGCTGTGATGTATCGCCGTCCTCTTTATTGATTTTTACAGAAAGTGCTTTTTCCTCTTCCTCCTCTCTCTCTCTAGGGTGGTTTAACCTGGTCATATTAGGACTCTGGGCGATTAAAGGCTCTATGTCTTTAGAAGCCCAAGACACATGTAAGAAAAGAAAAATATTTCGGGAATTGAACATTTAAACAAGGGTTAATAAAAGATTGCTCTCCTAAAAAAAATGATAAAGCATGAAAAAGAAGACTTTAATTTGCTGAAATCAGATAATGCCTCATTCCCCTGTAGTACATTCATATTTGTATGGCCAGAATCGTATGTATTCAATAAATTAGGCTTTTCACAGCTCCAAGCTGCTGCATTCACATACAGTAGATTTTCCAGCAACTTCTCTATAAAAGCCATTTTACTACTGATGTACTGAATGTCATTTACAAAGCAGGGGCTTTTATTGAACAACTGAAAGTATTCAAAATCTTATTGTAGGAGATAGCAAGGTTCAACAAATTAAGAAGTTTGATCTGATCTGAAGAACGAGTTCAGTGAAATAAAGTATGAATGTATCTCCAGTGACTTCCCGCAGGAATTTCAATAAAGGAGATTCCTGCTTTAACTTCTCCAAAAGCACTTGATCACAAAACAAACATATGGATGGTTGAATCATGAAGAATGAAGGAACAATGAATGATGTCTGAATGAAACGTCTTCACTCTTAAGAAACCATCACTGAACAGTAGTTCTCAAAACGAAAACGGAAGCCTTGCTTTTCATTGGAGCCTCTATAAAACTGGTCTTTATAGTTCATTCACAGCGAGTGAGTAACTAACTTAACGTTATCTGTCTGCCAGTCAGGCTGAAAGCTTCCATCTATCAATCAGCCACTCATAGCGGCATTTTGCATGTCACTTGTAACCAATCAAATAATAACCTGGCCCTAAGTCAAAGTCCTTAGTTTAGAACATCTGGGATCTTACACCATTCACAACATGTTCTATATAATCATGGACATTTTTGTTGGAGTTAAATTAAAGAAACATCTACTTCTAACTGAAATCAGATCCAACAATGAATCGCATGATGTAACATACAACATGTTTTGGCAGAACTAAGAGACTTTCATTCTCTCAGTTATTGCAACTGCGAGTGTAATTTTTTGAAGCCCCGGGGGAAAGATTTAACCAAACATACCAAGTATAGATTTTTTCTTCCTTGCTCATTATCGCTGTTTCTTCTCATCTGTCTACTTATGATTACTGTACACTTGATTAAGTTACATTCTTTTCATGTTAGGAAGTACTTTGTACAACACCCCCTGGCTTCTTTCTTCCCGAGAACATTTTCCATTAACTAGGCTATTTTAATTGCACAGACAAACACAAATAAACAATCCTGGCATCAGTAAAATATATCGCACAGGTCTTAATGGAGATGCATGCCCAGTAGAGCGTTAGTCAAATGTGAAACTGTGTTTTTTCATATATATTTTTGTTGATTTTATTTCTGGAGATTCAGTGACCTTGTGATGTGGCCTGACACCAAATGTTTGTTGCCTAGGAGATGGTTAATATCTCAATGTCATTGGTCCCTGGGGAGGAGAGGGGAGAGGGGAGGAGAGGGGAGGGGAAGAGAGGGGAGGGTAGGAGAGGGGAGGAGCTTCTTCCCTCAGGTCAGGTAAGGATTTCTGCGATTGTTTAAAAAAAACGTACTTGCAATAGACAGAGCAACTTGATTGTGCTTCATGGTGTAGCACCAGAGGACAGCTCTATTACACTGTAAAATATGAACATTATTTATGCATGAGTATATGGCCATTAATGCAAAAGGAAGCTGATAGATTAACAAATATACAGTGCAGTGTACTTGGCATGCATAGAATTGACTGAACTAATGAGGGAGACTGCCTCTAATACATCCATTCAGCCGTCTATAGTAATGATTAATTTACGACCCCCCGCCTTCTCTGATCCCATTCAAACACACACTGAGTCTCTCTCTCTCTCTCTCTCTCTCTCTCTCTCTCTCTCTCTCTCTCTCTCTCTCTCTCTCGCTCTCTCTCGCTCTCTCGCTCTCTCTCTCGCTCTCTCTCTCGCTCTCTCTCTCGCTCTCTCTCTCTCTCGCTCCCCTCAGCGTCTGATGCAATCCGTTACCAACCCAGAGTGTTTTCCTTCCATTCAGACACAAAGAGAGCATGAGTGCTGTGCTGAGAGAGCAGGAGGAGGAGGGAGAGGAGGGAGGAGAGTGGGATGGGGGGGGTAGGAGAAGAGGAGGGTTTGGATGTGTCCTGGATGTGCCAATCCTCGCCATACCCCAGGGACGCATATGAGATAAACACTAGATAAGCCTGACAAAGGCGGCGGCGCCAAGGCACAGGAGTTGGCACGGGTAAGGGGGCACGGCATGGATATTAGCACCGAAGCGCCCCCTATTGGGGGTGAAAGGCATAGTGTGGGAGTGAAGATGAGACAAAGGAGCTGGTTACAGCTGAGGCAGGAGGTCAGTGCATGCCTAACTGAGCAATGTTCCCTCATGGCATGAAAACACTGACGGCCAGGGATCTGCAGGGGTCCTCAGGGCTCACACTGTCAATTGTGGGGCAACACTGCTATTCTGGGAACAAGGCATGGTGTGAGTGTGTGAGTGTGTGAGTGTGGGCATTCAGGACAGCATGTGTGTTTGCATGTGTGCTTGAAGCCGGTAGTGGAGAAATGTGGAAAGAAAAAAATGGCATGGTTGATTTAAACAATGTGAAACACGCTACAGCCACAGATTGCACGCATCGAATGGCCACTGCAGACATCTACATTAGATTTGTATTATTTTTGCTCAATAATTGTTCTGTCTTTTCCTCTTCCTGCTCTGTATCTCATTCCAGGACGTTCAATAATTCACAGACACAGCAAGTCAGGATTGGCTCAGCAGGGGGCGTACGAGCTGACAACATATTCATACAGGCTGTCAAAACCAAAGGAATTACATGATGTACAAAAGAGACACTCACACATGTAAATCTATGCACGCAAAAAATCAACTCCGGGAGAGAGAGAAGCTCACTATACGTTTGAGTTTATGCAGTATGTATGGAACTCAACTCGGGTTCCCACACAAATGTAATTTTCTGATCTCGTATGCTATAACATTTGGTAACTTTTAATGTCAGTAATATTTTATTGATATCTTTAGATTTCCAAGCAAAGTATTTTCAATGTGCTAATTAATCAGCTAATTAGACTTGTCGAACAGATACGTAATGTCAAACAGATACCCAATAAAAGCGCAGCCAATCTGTTACAGATGTCACCACCTCTAAGTAAATAAGAATAAAAAGTAAAGAGTCACAAAATGCATCCGTGGTAATTAGAAATAGATCATTTTGTGGGGGTGAAATACAGAAGGTGAGAAGTTTGGTGATGTCACGTTGGGTTTTCCACCTGCTCTGAACAGCTTAACTTGAGTTTGCATTTGTGTCAGCAACTTCTAAAGAGCTAATGTTTCTCACTTCGCACAACATTTAAATGACAAGGCAATTTATGGCTTTCCATCTCAATAACTACAAAGTAAATAAATAGCTTTAATGTCTGCTGATTCTAAGAAATATTCTAACACATTTCTAAAATGAGCTTCTTGACAGCTAAGTGCTTTCCTACTTGGGTACTTAGCATTTGATCAGCGCTATGTTAGGGATGTAAGGAATGCTGAATCCCCACCAGCAGGAGAGGCTGGAGTGGGCAGACTATAATGGCTGAAGCAACAAGTTGAGCAACTGTCATCACACCCGCCCCTTTTTTTTTTAACTCTGTTTCAGTCTCTCTGTCTGTCTCCCACATTTTCCACACACTTACACAGTGTGACACTGACACACACACACAGCCAGCCACCCTCCCCTCACCCAGAGACAGAGAGAGAGAGAGAGAGAGAGAGAGAGAGAGCTGTGAGAGCTCGGCTCAACACGGCTCTCACTTCTCGCCACCATTCACTGTCCTGGTTTTTAATAGTCTCACACCATGAGCCAGCTGCTGCAACATCAAGGAGAGGAGAGGAGACAAACACTGAATCACATGAAAGCAATTCAGCACGCCTCGCTGAGTCACACTTTGACACACGGTCTCACATGAGGACCTCTGCAGTGTATATTCCTCACATACATGAAACCTTGTAGCACACAAAATACGCTGAAGAGAATGTCAAAGAGACAAGTGTGCATTTAAAGTTTTTACCTGTTGCCCAAAGACTTTTCTTCCAGTGCGTGGGGCTTGAAGAACCACTTCCCGATCCTCACAAAGCCCTTATCCATCAGGCATCTGCAGCAGGAGCGAAGAAAAAGAGTCAGAAAATGGCTTAACATCTTTTAAAATGCACTTTCACAAATGAATCATGAAAAACAAATAGTATTTTTGAGAGGCTTAAAGAGGTTTTAAATTGATCTCAATGAAGATTTCTTTTTATGCTTCTAGTGACGTTTTATTGGATTGCATCCCATTACAGAGTGTTTCTCAATGACAGCTTCTATACTATCAAGCCTGAGCTTTTCTTTTGTAGAAACTGTTCATCTTGTTTTTATATTAAGTGTACCTTGCATAAGTTGAATCAGTTTTCAAAATGGTTCTATATAGTGCAGAAAATAAGCAACAACACATGCCAGACATCATTTGCCTGTTAGAGTTGTTTTATGACTTTACTTATTATACTGCAGCACCATCCATGAGTTACCTCTGAGCAATGCTTGAGATGTGGCGTTTAAGTGTGCAGATAAAAAGGAAAGGTAATCTTCTGCTAATCGGCTTCCCCCCAAAGTGGTGTGCGCTTTTACACATAGCTTTCCAAAACCCCTTTTCTTTGGTCAGATCTAAATTTGAAAACATCAAACGGTTCAGTCATCATGCTCCCTATTTGGAGATCCCACCATCTGTGCACGTCTTCGCCTCATTTCAACCTCCTTTCAGAGACAAAACTGAGCAGCTCTGTCAGAACTTCGACTCATCTCTGTGTGCAGGAGCCAGTTATTTATTTCCCTGCTGAATCCTCTGATCCGGGTCAAGAAATTAAAAAATATATATTTTTTGGCTATCCAAAGCTTGCAGCCTCCAGTTCTACCATCTTTGGTACAGTCGACCCAAAACAATACATTTTAGAACATTAACAAATAAACTGTTTAATGGGTTTTGGATACATAATGACTCAAACTGCTTAATAAGCTCAGTCTAGGCTCTGATAGAAATGATGCTTATCTGATCAGGGCATCCCTGTGCATTGTCACTTCTTTTGAGCCCTTACAATGAAAGTAAGTTAGTGAAAGCTGCTTTAAGTCAAATCTGAACTAATTTGAAAAGCCTTAAGAAGCAGCTGCTAAAATGTTGGCTCAATGACAATATGCTCAGTAATTCTTGCTGCAGGTGTAGTCAACTATCAAGGAATATTATGTCTTAAACTTTTTTTTGCCTTATACTGTAGGGGCATTTCAACCAGCTGCAAACTCATAATGTTGACATGTCTAACAACTGGCTACTACACATGAATCAGGCGCAAAGCTAGTATTGCCGGGTAATATCTGGCTGTGCTCCTGCTGTGCACCTGCTAAATGGTTAACCTACTAGCTGCTAACTTTTTCCTGTGTGTAAGAAGAAGAAGAAGAAGAAGAAGAAGAAGAAGAAGAAGAATTGGGAGGGATGAAACCCTCTTTAATGGTCACACATGCAGAGCACACAGCACACACAGTGAAATGTGTTCTCTGCTTTTAACCCATCCTAGTCCCAGGAGTCTAGTACTAGGAGCAGTGGGCAGCTATTGTACAGCGCCCGGGGAGCAATGGGAGTGAGGGGGGAAGGGGGATGTCTGGTGCCTTGCTCAAGGGCACCACGGCAGGGCAGGAGGTGAACTGGGACCTCTCCAAGTAGAAGTCCACACTCCATATTTAGGTCTGGTCGGGGACTTGAACCGGCGACTCTACTGCTCACAGTCCAAGCCCCTACTGACTGAGCCACTGCCGGTGGTAAGGTGGGTTTATAAATGTTTTGTTAATGAAAGCAGCAGCGTTCAAATGTGATGATAATAGTAACACTGAACAGTAGAGTTATGGCTTGTTAAAGGAGCTGAACAACACTGATATACTTCACATAGTGTAGCGAAATTGCACAGGTGGCTAGATTTTCCACTATGAGCAATAGTGCTCATAGTTAGACTTTACACGTCATCCTACCCATTGTGTATATGAACATATTGATAAGAGCAGCTTTAAAGATACATATTTCAGGAGCATGTGCGCTTGATTGGAAGGTGTCTCGAGCTACAGTATCACACTTTCAAAGAATTGTGTCAAACTCCAACCTTAAGCACACATTTTTAGAAACCTATTGGCAACGTTATGCCTTTGTTTTTGTCTTTATGGGTTATTTGAATGATTTATGTATCTTTTGCTTCAGTCCAACTCCAAACTCCACATTGGCAAGAAACACATTACATCTTTACAACGAACCACTCTCCAGTCACCACGGAGCTCATAACATGTCTTTTCAAGTGCTATTTCTCTGTGCTTGTTTTGTTGTAATATTCGTAATTGCTTTAAGCCTAGTTGTTTGATTTAGACTTTCTTAATTAAATTGTACTGTATGTTCATTCTTAATAATGAAATAATGTAATAATAACAGTCAGGGACAGAGGTCAATTTTGTCTGTACGATATGAAAGACAAAGTTGAAATGATCCATCCTGTGTTGAAATCGTAAGCTGTAAAATAAATTAGCTTCAAGGTAATAGCAAGGTTAATTTCACCTGCCCCCTATGATGATCACTGATGCTTAACTTAATAGAGAGCAAATATATGCTGCTTCATTTAACAGATGGCTCCGACTCAGAAAGGAGAGCTTTGGGTACTTCGGGCAAATGATTCAGCGCTCAGATTATAATTTCATTAAGGTGAAACTGCTGGAAGAAAACTCAAACCGTCTATCAATATGACTCAAAGTTATTTTGTTTGGTGATTTTTTGTAGAAAATCCTTGATCATTAATATTCTCAAGTGTGTGATTGCTTGAGTCATCCAACATGAACATTTTCAATTTCAACAACCTAGGCTAATGCTGTATACATCAAACTGTTACTGAATCAAAAACACCACCTCACAAGAAGTTACTGTACTTTTATTAAAATAATGAAAGCATGTTTCTATGCATCTATACAAATGACTTTCTTGAACCTTTCTCTTCATTATTTATAAGCTCTATATAAACCATGCAGCACTCAATAAATACATTGATTTAGCTTTGAAACACACTATTATGCAGCTGTACGCAAATATAATGACATTTTGGTTTATTAATGCACAGTATTTGTCAAAAATATGATTACAAGACATGTTTATAATAAATATAATATTAGCATTGTCGCTTATATTGTCAGTCCGTATAAATTATTTATATTCACCAGCCTTCAGAAAGCTGATAAGAGGGGGAATTCTGAAAAAAGAAATACTTATTATTTACCTACCTTTATATTGTTTTATTTATTTTATAGGTCTTAAAGGATTTTATCTTATTTTATTAATCTAACATGCTTCAATAGCAATATTTATTTTTACGTTAGTCTTTCTTTTCTTTTTTTCTTAATCGTTTAACCTTTATTAAAATGATGGCCTTTTTATTACTATTATCTTTGAATTTTTCTTTCTGTTGTACCTATATGTTCACTTTGTTTTATGAGGTTTTATATGTTACATTGTTGCATCGATTCTGTTGTCTTGTGTCTAGAAAACATTACTTATTTAATTTGTATTATCATACATTTCACCTCCTTGTGTCTATTAACCTGATCACATGTTATATTTTGCTGCATGTACCTGTAAAGTTCTTAAGAATAATCTGAGGGGGATTTCTTGTTGTTTATTTTGAACTTGTGATGTGTGTGTCATTTTGTAAAGCACTCTGAGCTGCATGCGTTGCAAAGTGTTGTCCTATACTATGTGCATTTCCCTGTGCAGATAATCAACTTTTTTTCTTTACCTTTCCAGCAGGTTGTGTATGGCCTTGAACAGGAGCGTCCTGCACTCGTAGGACAGCCCACACTCCCAGAGCCCCTCCTCAGCCACTGAAAGAGAAGAAGAAAACAATCATCAGATAATAAATCTCAATATTTTATTATGTCTAATAATAAAAGAAACAGAAATGATATTCTCCGTGACAGAGAAACATCTGCACGCACCAGCTTGAGGATAATAAACAACACATGATTCAGCGTTTAACTGCATGTGTTTATGGCACGCTCTATCAAAACATGCTGCATGTGCTGATGAGAAAACCTGCACATCGTATCAGAAATTACACTGAAGATGAGGTTGTGTGGAAGCATCGCAGTGTGTGTGTGTGTGTGTGTGTGTGTGTGTGTGTGTGTGTGTGTGTGTGTGTGTGTGTGTGCAGAGGGTGCTGGTCTGTACAGCTGTCAGGTTGGCTGCAGCGACAGCCCATTCAAACCCCATGCAGTTGTCAACAGCAGTTAGTTTATAGAGTGAGTGCGGCTGTATGGTTGCAGGATGACACACATGCTTGCGTGCTCAGGTTTGAACATGCATCCAGAGGAGTTTGAACTCATCCCTTTTTTTTTCCTGCGATATTTGAGCAGCTCAAGACAAAACGTAGTCAGATCAGCTTCACTCTGCCCGAGCCTCTGACATGTCAGCGGCTAGTTCACACGTGTCAAATGTGTGTGTGTGAACAATTGAACACCCTCCTGATTTCTTTAACCTCCCGACCCCAACCCCCATTGCCCTGCTCCTAAAAAGAACACATTCACACACACACACACACACACACACACACACACACACACACACACACACACACACACACACACACACACACACACACACACACACACACACACACACACACACACACACACACACACACACACACACACACACACACACACACACACACACACACACCGCGGCCAGTTAACAGCGCTTCTCTTTGTTCTTTGCCATATACCTGCAGGGCTCCTGGAAGAACTGGATGATTGTGGGTGGGTGTTGTGTTTGCTTATAGGGTGGTGGCAAACAAACCAAGCATCACAGAAATACACAAGAAAAAAAGGAATGAAAGACAGAGGCAGAAAGCCTGGGGGATGGGTGGCATAAACACCAGCAGAGGTTTCTCTTTCCCTTCTCTCTCTTCCTTCATTTGTGTGTGTGTGTGACGTGTGTGTACTCATTTCTCCTTCTCTGTTGCTTTGTTGATATTTCACTCCTGTGTTTTTTTTCTTCTTCTTCTTCTTTCTTCTTCATACCAGAGTGAATGAAATGTCCTTACTCGCCAGAATTACCCTGTAACCATGGAAACGCTGGCGGTGAGAACATGGCGCCCTGGCATTCAATTTCAACACTGGTCCCTCCCGCCCCTCATCTCCTCCTTCCCCTCCTTTTCCTCTGTTTACACACACACAACACCCCTCCACCCTCCCCACCTTACCCCCCTACCCACCCACCCCTCATTTACTCCTGCTTCAGGGCTCAGACAGGAAGCTCGCTCTAGCCAGCTCCTCTACAGAGCAAGATAGAGCGAGCACCACGAGCAGAATGCCAAGTCTCCGGCAAATCCAGCTCATTAGCTCTCACTGTCTCTATATCTCCCTCTGTTCAAAATCCCCCAAACTTTTTTTCTTCTTCTCCCACTCTGCCAATCCTGCACAGCCCATCTTCATTTACTCGCGTCATGACCGGCTCCACAGCAGGCTCTTGACCCCTCTAACTCCAAAACTGTCACTGACTCCCCCAAAACGCCGCCTCCTCCCACACAGAACTTGACAAAAATGAAGCACACACCCCAAGAAGAAAGGACTTAAAGTCAACTTTTCCACATTAGCTTCCCTAACTCCTGCATGTGAATCGGTAGCGCCTAAGCAGTTACAGTTTTTTGAAATAATCTCAGCAGTAGCGTATACTTAGATGCCAGAGAAAACATGCAATCTACATAAGACACTCCTGTTCATATTGTAGCTGTAAAGGAGCCAGCTCACTGCAGCGTATCAGCACAAGGTGTGACAAATCACTCTCGCAAGCAAACAAGGTCAGGCATCCACACGAGCGTGCAGCGAACACATCCTCACATGAACGTTATAAATATAGAAAATGGAGTGTGAAATAAAACAATGATTTGATACATTGAAGAAGAGTGATTTTCTGTAGGGATGTGTGAGCCAAAAAACCATGACTGCCAAGGACACACAGGGGATAGGATGTGTGTGTGTGTGTTGTGTGTCGTGTGTGTGTGTGTGTGTCGTTGTGTGTGTGTGTGTGTGTGTGTGTGTGTGTGTGTGGTTGTGTGTGGTTGTGTGTGTTGTGAGACAATGTAATGTTGTGTGTGTGTAACGTGTCACGGTTATCGTACGTCTGACGACTCTGATGGGTGACCTGCGGTATGACTACCACTGATAACTAGCGTTCGTGTTTACTTACTTACTCCCTCTTTCTCTCTCCTCTCATTGCCTTTATACACCTCTCCCCCGCCAGTCAACACCCAGGCGGCTGTGGGTGCTCACCAACAGTGTGGAGCTGAGTGGCACCCCGAAGAGGGACGGGCGGGAGCCTCAGTTATTGTAGGAACCAAAACAATCGGGTCATAAGCATCACCCACGCACAGTGGAGGCGGAGATCACCACCCGACTCTGGTGTTGTCAGGCCCTTCCAGTTCTTCTCTCTGTTTTTACTTTTTTTTTTTTTTTTTTTCCTCAATTGTAGGGTATCTCCCCAGTTTGGTTTTGACCCTCTCCTGACCTCTTTTGCTACACGAGTCTACCTCTCTTACTTCCACTTTGGTTTCTCACCATCACGCTGGGTCAAGGGTAGTGAGGCGACACAAACACAAAACCCCACCGTCGCAGCCAATTCTCCCGTAACGTCCGTGGTCTCTACAACCCTTCCCTTCCAACACCACATTTGGCATTGGCACGTAAACATTCCCTGTAACTACGGCCAGTGACATCTGTCAGTGCTGTCGTGTGTGTGTGTGTGTGTGTGTGCCGCTCGTGTTGTGTAGGTGTGCAACGTTTCCGTCCGGACACGTGACTTCGGGTGAACAACCCTTGGCTCAAGAGTGGTCGTGCGACGCACGTAATCCTTACTTGTGTACGTGCTAGCAACTATTACCCGAATACTGTTACAAAACGGCACTACACGAGTGTGTGACTATAATCATTGGTGTGTCAACCGCTACGTAAATTAATGTCTCCTAAACGATTAATTGTCCCACTCTAGAAGTAACGTGTAGCCCAACGTCGTTATATGTAAAGGCTAACCACGCATTAATCTAGGTAAAATCGGTCCAAATTTATCCCGAGTATATAACCTAATAATCAACTCCTTGCAACTTTATATCGACATTGCTTTATATGCATAAGTCGAATGTTATCACAAAATTAACCAATTATAAAAATTTATAACAAAAAGACAATTTTATTAGACTCAGTCAGATAATTGTTCATAAAAAGAAGGTGTGTGATAGACCACCTTTGATCCTTTACCTGAAACAGAACATTTAGTTCTTATGACAACACTAAAGAAAAACGTAAAGCATAAGATATAAGCAAAATGTCTTAGCCTCAGACGGATCAAATAGACGTAAATAGTCTCTTTTACGTAATTTTTCGTAATTTTACTAGTCTCGCAAAGTCATACTTAGATTAACTGTGCGACTATGTAGGTCAAGGGAATTCTCCAGCAAAGTCCGTACGTACGTAAGGGCGACATCGCAGGCCGAAACTACTTACCTACCTAGTACTCGAAATTTTCGGGATAATCGTGAATCGACGCGTAAATCACAGATGTACGCAAAAAGGAGAGCCCCGGTAGACACAAGGAGGAGACTAATTGTCCGTCATTCCTTTGAGTTTTGTCACCGCGTC